AAACTTGTGGTATAATTTCAGATGAAGGTATATCCAGAAAAGCGCTTCGGACGCATGAAATTATTAAACGTGTTGTTTTCAATTTTTTACATCACTGGGTCGATACCTCTGCTGGTGGACTATCAGTCCCCGAGGGTATCATCAGCTCAGTAGTCAGTACTTCGGTACTGACATGATTTATAACAAACCTTTCTAAAATTGTCCGTTGTTAAATTTTGAAATTATAAAGAAACTAAGGTTTTAACTCACTCAGGCAAAGTTGACCTTAGATGAATTTGGCTATTTGTTTTAGGTATTTTTGTCATATAGCTCTTCAACTGTTTCGGTACTTATACATCCCTCGGATTTCAAATGTTTGGCTTTGAGCGTTCCTGATAAAGGTAAATCCAGAAAAGCGCTTCGGACGCCTGAAATTATTAAACGTGTTGTTTTCAATTTTTTTCAGAGAGATCCATACACTTAAACACAAGTTATTGTCTGGAAACTACAAATATTCCGTTTTGAGCCTCTTTTTGGCCCATAATTCCTAAACTGTTAGGACCATAACCCCCAAAATCAATCCCAACATTCCTTAAGTGGTTAAAAACCTTATGTTCAAATTTTATTGATTTCTATTTACTTATACTAAAGCTATTATCCGGAAACCATCTGTCTTCGGACGACGCTGACGACGACGACGACAACGAACGTGATACCAATATACGACCAAAACTTTTTTAATTTTTGCGGTCGTATAAAAAGTGTCGATTTCAGTGGTTCTTCCTCGAAAATCCTAACAATGGTCATTTAGGACTATAACTACAAACAGGGATCGACTGACGATTTCGGTTATTTTTATTGTTTGATTAGGGACTTTCCTTTTTAATATTCCTCGAAGATAAGTATTTTTGTGATTTTACTTTTTAAATATTTGTAGATCCTGTCATGCTGATCATTATTGATTTTTAAATTTTTGTTCTTTTTCTGCTATACTGTTCAAGGTAAAAAGCAAAATTAAAAAAAATATTGGTAAAATTCGTCATATAAGGGCAGTCATTCCTATCAAAAGTCGTTTAACAGTTTTGATGTAAAAAAAAAAGTAGGTAGATCCCAATATCCCTATCACATTGTATCAGATGTTCCAAATCCATAGTGGTTTTCAAGTTAAAAGACAAAAATTGCGTTTTTCTCATGTTTTCTTTTTTTGTCATGTCAGCCATGTTGGTATAGCGATAATGCCAACCACTTGACCGTGAAAAATATAAATCAAAGTCGTGTTCTTTCCACATAATTGATTATTCTGCTTAATAAAATAAATGGTACCAATTTTACTGCATCATATACTTTTTCGACAATGCATGTTTCCGCAGTGTAGCTCGAGACCAGCATATGTCATTCAAGTTTAGGAAATAGTTTTTACCGCTGTTCACATATCACAAATCTATGATACATGCTAGATATGTGAATTCAATAATTTCATATAAATGAAGCATGTACGATATTCCCAGATCATTAAAGGGAGTCTTGTACCAATTAAAAGATATATTAAAATATTCTAAAGAAACTCTTTCCTCTTTGAAGAAAAATCGTTATTAAATCAAATGACGAATGTCTTAAAAGCAGATTTTTATGGATATCTTAGAATAAGTTGAAGATCTCCTTAATTTATCCGATGATATCCATTAATCATTACAAGAGATCACAAATGAATAAATGGTACTTTTAACATGCATCTCACAGCGATATACTACTAGTGTCTTTATTTATTCACCCCTTATTTTATTGATTTTGTATTTACATTGTATCATAGATCACATTTATTCGTTCAGTGTATGTTTACTAGTGTTAATATGTCTTTTGATTGAGTTATGCCATTTCAATTGATATTTTATAGTGTGTCTTTCTATGTTAATTTGTGATGTGTTGTTTCAGACGATGGTGATGATTGTACCTATTAAAACGTTTAAACCAACGGCATTTGTTTGCAAATGTCCTAAGTCAGGAATCTGATGTTCAGTAGTTGTCGTTTGTTGTTTCATAAGCGTTTCTCGTTTTTTATATATATTAGACTGTTGGTTTTCCAGTTTGAACGGTTTTACACTAGTCATTTTTGGGGCCCTTTATAGCTTGTTGTTCGAGTAGGCCAAGGCTCCGTGTTGAAGACCGTACTTTTTCCTCTAATGGATTACTTTTACAAATTGTGACTTAGATGGAGAGTTGCCTCATTGGCACTCATACCACATCTTCATATATCTACTTAGGACATTTGCAAAATCATTTAGGGATATCACAAATTATTGCTCAATTGGTGATTATATTATTTTTTTTCACTGATATCATTTATTCATTAAAGAATATGAATAGCACAATTTCATGTAATTAATATAAAGGATATCCTTTATTCATTTACAGATCAGATGCTTGCTCTGATCTAAACACCTCAGACCGCGATAAAAAGGTCGCTTGTGAGATGAAACACGCATATATCGTAAGGGTCAAACAATTCATGATGGTGACGTGAACACTTGATTTAGATAGAGCACTGTTTGTGTAAGGAGAGCATCCCTCTTTATAAAGTCCGTATAGTGTGAACATGGACGAGTATAACCTATTAATCTGATATATATACGCCGATGGGGCAAATGATATGTTATTGCTGTCAAGGAAGAAGGTGACAATTTGAAGCTGAAATCGTCATGTTTGTCTCAGATTTTTGTTGAGCCTACGACTTTTATCGCAGAAAGCTCGACCTATGGATAGTGATCCGGCGGTGGCGGCGGTTACGGCGGCGTTAGCAAACTTCTTAAAAGCTTTATATTTTAAAAGGTGGAAGACCTGTATGCTTCATACTTTGTATATAGCTGCCTTATGTTACGAAGTTTCCGTCTGTCACATATTCTTTGTTCTTGACCTCATTTTCATGGTTCAGTGACTACTTGAAAAAAAGTAAAGATTTTTTGTTATGTTAATTTCTCTCTTATTATGAGTAATAGGTTAACTATATTTGGTATGTGCGTACCTTCCAAGTCCTCATGCCCGTCATACAGTTTTCACTTGACCTCGACCTCATTTCAAGGTTAAGTTTTGGTGGTCAAGTACTATAAGCAATAGGTCTAGAAAATTCAGTGTATGGAAGGATTGTAAGGAGTACATGTCTAACTGGCAGGTGTCTGACCTTGGCCTCTTTTTCATGGTTCAGTGGTTATAGTTAAGTTTTTGTGTTTTGGTCTGATTTTCTTATACTGTATGCATTAGGTCTACTATATTTGGTGTATGGAATAATGATCAGGTGTACATGACGAACTGGCAGCTGTCATCTGACCTTGATCTCATTTTCATGGTTCAGTGGTCAAAGTTATGTTTTTGAGTTTTGGTTATTTATTCTAATACTATATGCAATAGGTCTACTATATTTGGTGTATGGAAATATTTTTATGATGACATGTCAGTATCGCAGGTTTTATTCGACCTTGACCTCATTTGTACGGTTCATTGGTCAATGTTTAGTTTTTCTTAGTTAAGTCTGTTTCTTAGAAACTATAAGTAATAGGTCAACTTTATTTGGTGTATTGAATGATTGTAAGGTGTAGATGTATTTCTCCCTCGGTTTATATGACCTTGACCTCAATTTCTTGGATCATGTTAAGTTAATGTGATAGTTGTAGTAAAGCTTTATATTTAGGACTATCAACACAATATAAATGGTTAGTAAAGAAGGCGAGACATTATAGTGTGTGCACTCTTGTTGTTTGAAGTTATCAAACTATTTATATATTGAAGAAAGGGTCAAGATATGACCTTAAACAAGGAATTGTATCTATGTTTTCCAATTTTGTAGAAAAGGCTTTGTTTGATGAGTGTAAAGCGTTGAAAAAGTCTTAATATTTCTGAAATTTTAAAACATTGAGCTAACAGATAAGTTGGTAGATCTTTAGAACTTTTGAAAAACCACATTTGGTTTTTAACGCTGGTTGAATGTATCTTATTACATGTGTTACACTATTTCGTAAGGTCAGTGTTTACTGTAGACAGAACAGAAGTAAGAAAGATGATGAGTCGAGATTTGTGTTAAGTCTAATTATCAATTATAAAGAAGGGAGCTTGGCATCGTTCTTTTTTATGCTTAACCAATAGATCAAAAGAACGGATCTGTGATTTTCCAAATTCTCCTCTTTCGTGAATAATAGAGTGGTATATGAAAGCATACCAAACAGTTTTGATCCATTCGATCCACTTAAACTATAGGAAAACCTTTTGAATTTGTAATGCCGAATGAGGTATTGGTAACATTATAAGTATACTACAAAAAATACCATTATACCACATAACGGGATTGTATTCATCTGTGTGTGATTTCCTGTTGTTCACTTCCTAGCATTATTAATTCCATTAGATTGATGAATACCTAACCAGTGTCCCTTCATTTCATTGTCTGCAGGTAAAAACAAAATAACACAAATACCAAAATCCGAAGAAAATTCTAAAGTCCATAAGCTAATGGCAAATTCAAAAGCTCAAACACATCAAACGAATGGATAACAACTGTCATATTCCTGACCTGGAACAGACATTTTCTTATGTAGAAGATGGTGGATTAAACTTGGTTTTACAGCTAGCTAAACCTCTCACTTGTATGACTGTTGCATAAAACTCTATTATATTGACAACGATGTGTGAACAAAACAAATTATTGGTAAAACTTTCAAAAATAGGGGTACAGCAGTCAATATTGTGTTATAATCTTAATATCCATATAAAAAAAACCAAAACAATAAAAAAAAAATTGCATATAGACAAAGTCCATAAGGAAAACGAAAGATAAGAATACAAAAACTACCATAGCACAATAACACAGACGTGATGTTGGAAATTAAACCTTAATGAAAATTTTGTTAGCATGTTATAACCACATTGCGCATAAACGTTAATGGTAAAGGAATTTGGTTTTTTAATCATGCTAATGGAAGATTTCAGTTTCACGATTTCTCAAACTCTAAAGTAAATAGCCTTGACTTTCTTACCTCCGTCAATTCCTAAAATCGATTCTACGTCCTTCGTCATGTCTACTGTTACTATATACAAAGCTTCTTTTGAAAGAAAAGTGTGATGCGTGTTATAGAATTGTCTATCCCCTGCAAAATCCCAGAGATCAATTGTTGCAAATTCATTCTCATCTAGCTCTACATTTAAAACATCTTCAAGATCTATTTCAGATATAGATTGTTGGACTCTACTGTAAAAAAGGTCTTCTGATTCATCTTCACTTTCTAAGATGGTAGGCAATGCATCCGATATTTTACCTTCTTCGTTATTAAGTCTAGAATTGGGGTAAAAGTCTTTTCTATTTAAAATATCGGATTTGTCTGAAGATGATATAGGAGAAACGTTTCTACTTTCTAACGTTGTAGACCATGCTATGGACATTTTACTTTCTTCGTCCTTATCACTTAACACGTCATTTTTTTCAACTGTTTCCTGATTTTGATTCTTCTCCACTAAACATCTCTTCAGTCTCATATTTGCTACCTGTCTATTCGTCACACCTAACAAAAGATAAACACAAAACAACTATTAAAGATAACGTATCTTAGTATAATTTGTGGATGAAAGAGGTCTTATATTGAAGAAGACATCTTAAATCATATAAGGCATTTAATTTTGAACACAAAACTTATACGTTGCGGTCGATTCACACCAGTTAGCGGATCAAATAAGAACTAGTATTGTGAACACTGTCTTTATAAAAAAAATCTATCATTCAAACCAATTTATCAATTTACCAACACAGTTTGACTGAACAACAATATATATTTTCTATTGTAAGATAACAAATGTTAAATATAGCAATACCATTAATCAGAACGATGAAGCTTAATAAGACTGCACATAGTAAACGCGGATATGAATACAAAAAAAAAGGATGATTTGTATACGTAGACGTAATAGCAAACAGATAACGCAAACACGTAAGTCAGATCCAGAGATCAACATACAGTTTTTAACAATATACAAGTATATGTACTAAATTACTATTTTATAATAATTGTATTTTAAACAATTTCCTTATCAATAAGACAATGTTGAAAAAAAAAATAAATATCTTTAACACGTTATTCTCAATCTTCTTTACTAATTCTATTTAATTTATTAGCACATGTAGAATGTCACTAAAAAGTGAAAAAGATAAACCTTATATCTTATTAAGTTTCATAAAAAATGGTATTTTTTCCTTCCTTGTCATGCCGACACAATTAACGCTTAATGAATTGTGATTTTTAAATTCTAAATAAACCTTGCATTATAACCAAGTTAACCTCTTCAACTTTGTACTTGTTTGGCTTTATAACTATTTTGATCTGAGTGTCACTGATGAGTTTTATGTAGACGAAACGCGCGTCTGGCGTATTAAATTATAATCCTGGTACCTTTGATAACGAACCCACAATTTTTTTCGTAAAATGTCTGTACCAAATCAGGTAAATGCCAGTTACTATTCCATTCGTTCCGTTGGTTGACAACGTTTGATTTTGTCAGTTTTGATGGACTTCCCCTTTTTGAATTTACCTTTGAGTTCGGTATTTTTTTTATAATTTTTTATTGTAAAATTTCATAAAACTACATGTATGTATTCTTGATCACATCCGTCTTTATCATTATCAACGTTTAATTTGATTGCATTTACAGTCAGTCATATTTTCCGGAATTGAATATTTCTCCCTTTACATGCTTTCAGATTGCAAATGGATGAAACATTAATTTACTGCTGAGGATATCGAGACAAACCACTGTAAAGAACGTTTAAAATTGATTGTAAACTCTGACAAATATATTTGTTTAATTCGGTTAAAAGGGCACTAGCTGTCAAATTCATGTTCATCGATTTGAGTCAAATTCTCATATTTGATTTATAACATACTAAAACGTATATCTAAATTACAATAAGTCTGAAATAAACAGTTACACGCATGTACTCGATAATATATTTCAGAATTTTGTGTGTTTTTTTAGTGCAGACGCTACCTTATTAACTATCAAGTTGTCATCCAAATACTACCGACGGTCACACAATCCGATATAAACATAAACATAAATATAAATAGATTGCAACCCTCGTGTGATTGGGTTTTTATAGGTCTGTTGGAGTTCATGTTATAGGTTAAAAAATTAAGTTAATTAACGCTTTTACCTACATAAGAATGATTTTTTATGGATCGAATTAGTCAACGAAGATGTTCACCTTTGTTTCACTTTCAATGCTGACATTATTTTCCTTTTAATTGCTGAACACGACTTATGCATGCGTAAACAATCTCTAGCTAATGGGTTGAATTGAAGGTCACACGAATACGCGTTAAAGAGGTCGAATTATTCACTTGCAAGTGAATATTTCATCAGCGATATTTGTTTGCTTATTTTGACAAAATTGAACAGAATTGGCTGCTAAAAACGAATGATTATTTCATTATTTCACTTTCATTAATGATTGAACCAAACGAAATCATAATTTTATTTTTTCATATCTCGTAGCTAGTGCCCCTTTAACTCATCATACTTGTTAATTAAGCAAATGCAAACATAAAATTGTTGATATCATTGAATTGAAATGCAAATTATACTTTCGTTTTTTACTAGATTTTTTATTTTCATCTCACAAATTTCCGATCCGGAAAAATTAAGTATAAGTAAATTTAGATGTAGTGGTAGTTTATAGTGTTGGTGATGTCTTCGAATGAGACAAAAAGACTCGCACATATGATGCTTACTCACTTACATTAACGTTTATAAACGGTAGAAGTGGATGTCTCTAATGGAATAGGAAACTGCTGACTTCCGGAGCACTCAGTTCTATCTTAGATTTTTGCATAGCGTGAGTTAGGCAATCTTAGAACTGATTTGTGCACTATTTCATGTTCTGTTACTTTTTTTTGTAATGCTTTTGTCCTTTTTTCTTTGATTTTGAGATTTTCAATGTCTTTTTTGTATGTTTTTGATAGGTCAAAACTTTTATTTTACAATTCAACGTTTAATTTCATTTCAACACAATCTTGTATGTTTCAAATTATTCATCTGAAAATGTTGATTTGATACCACTAAAGCCTATCTGAATAACTTAACTTATAATTTGAAAAGTATGTGCGTGTTTTATAGAAACTGGTAATTTTGAATAATACAGTACCTTCCATGAAAATCCATTTTCCACTTTTTGTCTGTATTTTACTTTTCAAAATATGTATATCAATTCCATTTGTACTCCTCACTTTCGAAGGTTTATCTAACGGTTGTTGGAGAATTCGTCTCACCAAAGATGTCTTTCCTGACCCTTTTGGACCAACCACAACCAAACGGAAATGTTGTCGTTTGTCCATTTTCCCTTTTAACAGCTGACAGTATCTTTCAATTGATTTCTTGTCCAATCGATTGATTTCATCTGGTATTTTTGAATCTTTTAAAATAAAATGTTTATTTACAACTCTCATTTTACTGTCTTTCATATTCAATATTTTGTAATTATATATATATATAAGTACAAGTAATCTTTCATATTGTGCATTAAACTAGTGTTTTTTCTAAGACAAGTGTATTTACATAAATTGAATAAAACCTAATTTTATAAAAAAAATTAATCCAAAATACCAAATGTTCGAGCAATGAAATTATAACTAGTAATCAAATGATTGTTTGAAAAAAGCTGGGACTTAATATAATGTTTTATTCAGTCCAAGAAAATTAAAAGCGGAGAAGCTCTGAAAAAGTTATACGCTAAATACTAGGCAATAAGCATGTGTGCCGTTATTCATTTTTTTGAACTTGTACAAAATTAGATCCTTTATAACAAGTCACGAAATAGGTTCATCGGTATATCAATAATCAGTTATGTAAAAGCGACAAAAATTTACTAATTTTCAAATCGCGCACAGCGGTTAGAAAGAGCCAATTCATGGAAACAAACGAAACCTGAGGAAATCGAATATACTCCTAATCAGAAAAGTAGTGAAACTGGGTGGGTCGACTGGGTAATCATCTCCTGAGATATATATATATATATATAACTGTCACGAGTGGATAAATATCGTATTACACTCGATACAGCAGTAGAATCTATATATGAAGCCGAGTTCATACAAAACCTTCTCATAGACAAAAAGAAGAAAAATCTTGCAAAGTTCCATATATATATATATATATGTCTGTCCCTAAAACGTGTCCTATTCCCCCAAACGTGTCTTTATGACGTCGCTGAGTTCAAAACATGTATAGTTACAAAAGGGCGCTGAAACGTGTCGTTTTTATGAACGCACAAACGTGTCCTTTCCCCCAAACGTGTCCATATAATTAAAAGCTAAACGTTTCCTTTAATGAACGCTCAATATTGTCCATATTTTCAAATGCCCACATATAAATTAATCTAAGTGTTGACCTTTATGAAACAATTATATGTCCATCAATATTAATTTATAATTTTGTTTAATAACTTTTGTATATTGTTCTTCTATTGGCGTATATTCGTTTTAATTTACTCTTTCATCTATTGTCCTACCTCCAAGCGCGAATGAATAATAGAAACATGATAAATCAGGTCTTCTTTCAAACGACAGTTTAATCCTTGACAAAATTGGGTGTCCATTTGGAGCTGGTGGGTGGAAAAGTACTCGTCCATGCCCTGTCATAAATGGGGGTGTTAAATCTGAAACATCGTGTATGAAAGGTTACTTGGATCTAACTACTGTATTAATTGTTGATATTTTAACAAAACGCATTTTACAAGCAGGTCGAACAACTGATGTTATTAAACACTGCTGACTGCCACTGGCGATTGCCAAATAAACGGATCACCAGATGTAACAAAATAGATCTTTTTATTACTTTATTACCAAACAGAAAACAATAAACTTGCGGAAAAGATGGTATACCGCAAATAATTTGAACACCATATCCGGATTTCGACAATTAATGTCTCTTCAGTCATGTTAGAAATCAAAACGGTATTTGAAAGGTCATAAAATTGACCTCAATTTAGGATAGACTCTTGAATTTTGAAAGAGTCGAAGTAGGATGAACGGATCATATAAACTCGAAGGCACATATAATACAAGCCAAAACGGAAAAATATAAACAATTCTAAATTGAAAACAACGTTCAAACCTATGATTGCGTTTGATAAAAACAGCAATTTTTAAACGTGTGCTTGCACATGTCTTGTGTCTATCTCTAGATTCGCCTTCCGTGACAAGGTAACACTACGACTATTGAAGTTATATTTTTATATAGCAGATGTGGTCGAGTGGTCTAGAGCGCTTGATATGAGGCTAAGCGATTGGTGCTGTAGTGTATCAAAGGTGTGAGTTTGAATCCCGCTAAGGGATGGACAAAAAGTTGTCATCAGAAAAATCTAATTCTCACTCTTTGGGTGTAATTTTTAGACTTATTTCTAAGTCTTAATTGAAAACAACGTTCAAACCTATGATTGCGTTGGATAAAAACAGCAATTTTTATACGTGTGCATGTAAAACAAATTTCGTCGTAGAGGGGTCTAAATACAGCACAAACAACATTTTTAAAAAGACCAAATAAAGTGAAAAAGTATATTTTAACAAAACGCATTTGTATAACATTTCGAACAACTGATGTTCTTAAACCCTATTGACTGCCATTGACGATTGCCAAATAAATTGATCACAAGATGTAACCAAATGGATTTTTTTATATTAATTCAATACCAAACAGAAAACAATAAAATTGCGGCAAGATGGTATACAACAAACATGTCCGGATTTCGACAATTAATGTCTTTTCAGTGATGTTAGGGATCGAAACAGTATTTGGAAGGCCATATAATTTAACTCAATTTAGGATAGACTCTTGAATTTTAAAGAGTCGAAATAGGATGAATGGATTATATAAACCGGTGGGAAAATATAATACAATCCCAAACGAAAAAAAATATAAACAAGTCTAAATTGAAAACAAATTTCGTTGTAGAGTGGTCTGAATACAGCACAAACAACATTTTTAAAAAGACCAAATAAAGTGAAAAAGTATATTTTAACAAAACGCATTTGTATAACATTTCGAACAACTGATGTTCTTAAACCCTATTGACTGCCATTGACGATTGCCAAATAAATTGATCACAAGATGTAACCAAATGGATTTTTTTATATTAATCCAATACCAAACAGAAAACAATAAAATTGCGGCAAGATGGTATACCACAAACATGTCCGGATTTCGACAATTAATGTCTCTTCAGTGATGTTAGGGATCGAAACAGTATTTGGAAGGCCATATAATTTAACTCAATTTAGGATAGACTCTTGAATTTTAAAGAGTCGAAATAGGATGAACGGATTATATAAACCGGAGGGAAAATATAATACAATCCCAAAACGAAAAAATATAAACAAGTCTAAATTGAAAACAAATTTCGTTGTAGAGGGGTCTAAATAGAGCACAAACAACATTTTCAAAAGACTAAAAAAGTGAAAAAGAATATTTTAACAAAACGCATTTGACTAACAGGTCAAACAACTGATGATCTTAACCCCTGCTGACTGCCATTGACGATTGCCAAATAAATTGATCACCAGATGTAACATGGATCTTAGTTCTTGATTTAATACCAAATCGAAATCGAATATACTCCTAATCAGAAAAGTAGTGAAACTGGGTGGGTCGACTGGGTAATCATCTCCTGAGATATATATATATATATATATATATAACTGTCACGAGTGGATAAATATCGTATTACACTCGATACAGCAGTAGAATCTATATATGAAGCCGAGTTCATACAAAACCTTCTCATAGACAAAAAGAAGAAAAATCTTGCAAAGTTCCATATATATATATATATATGTCTGTCCCTAAAACGTGTCCTATTCCCCCAAACGTGTCTTTATGACGTCGCTGAGTTCAAAACATGTATAGTTACAAAAGGGCGCTGAAACGTGTCGTTTTTATGAACGCACAAACGTGTCCTTTCCCCCAAACGTGTCCATATAATTAAAAGCTAAACGTTTCCTTTAATGAACGCTCAATATTGTCCATATTTTCAAATGCCCACATATAAATTAATCTAAGTGTTGACCTTTATGAAACAATTATATGTCCATCAATATTAATTTATAATTTTGTTTAATAACTTTTGTATATTGTTCTTCTATTGGCGTATATTCGTTTTAATTTACTCTTTCATCTATTGTCCTACCTCCAAGCGCGAATGAATAATAGAAACATGATAAATCAGGTCTTCTTTCAAACGACAGTTTAATCCTTGACAAAATTGGGTGTCCATTTGGAGCTGGTGGGTGGAAAAGTACTCGTCCATGCCCTGTCATAAATGGGGGTGTTAAATCTGAAACATCGTGTATGAAAGGTTACTTGGATCTAACTACTGTATTAATTGTTGATATTTTAACAAAACGCATTTTACAAGCAGGTCGAACAACTGATGTTATTAAACACTGCTGACTGCCACTGGCGATTGCCAAATAAACGGATCACCAGATGTAACAAAATAGATCTTTTTATTACTTTATTACCAAACAGAAAACAATAAACTTGCGGAAAAGATGGTATACCGCAAATAATTTGAACACCATATCCGGATTTCGACAATTAATGTCTCTTCAGTCATGTTAGAAATCAAAACGGTATTTGAAAGGTCATAAAATTGACCTCAATTTAGGATAGACTCTTGAATTTTGAAAGAGTCGAAGTAGGATGAACGGATCATATAAACTCGAAGGCACATATAATACAAGCCAAAACGGAAAAATATAAACAATTCTAAATTGAAAACAACGTTCAAACCTATGATTGCGTTTGATAAAAACAGCAATTTTTAAACGTGTGCTTGCACATGTCTTGTGTCTATCTCTAGATTCGCCTTCCGTGACAAGGTAACACTACGACTATTGAAGTTATATTTTTATATAGCAGATGTGGTCGAGTGGTCTAGAGCGCTTGATATGAGGCTAAGCGATTGGTGCTGTAGTGTATCAAAGGTGTGAGTTTGAATCCCGCTAAGGGATGGACAAAAAGTTGTCATCAGAAAAATCTAATTCTCACTCTTTGGGTGTAATTTTTAGACTTATTTCTAAGTCTTAATTGAAAACAACGTTCAAACCTATGATTGCGTTGGATAAAAACAGCAATTTTTATACGTGTGCATGTAAAACAAATTTCGTCGTAGAGGGGTCTAAATACAGCACAAACAACATTTTTAAAAAGACCAAATAAAGTGAAAAAGTATATTTTAACAAAACGCATTTGTATAACATTTCGAACAACTGATGTTCTTAAACCCTATTGACTGCCATTGCCGATTGCCAAATAAATTGATCACAAGATGTAACCAAATGGATTTTTTTATATTAATTCAATACCAAACAGAAAACAATAAAATTGCGGCAAGATGGTATACAACAAACATGTCCG